TCCACGAGTCAATTGCAAACGATTAACAGAAAATGGGAATCTGGCGTGGCGTCAAATAAGAGCAAGCTATTTGAAACTTTGGGACAAATATTATGTATTAAAATATGTTGGTGTTGAATGGTTTTACATAAAGAGTATTATTTAAGAAATGAAAATCGGGTATTAGAAAGAAATTACTAATGATTGACATACTGTACAAATTAATTTTGCTACATTACATACAGTATGTGTATTTGTTTGTCACTACCTTACATGATCGACATCAATTTCAAACATTTTGAAAACGGAATAATTTTGATTTTAAAACTTCGTAATGCATAGTAATTTATGCAAATTGTGTGTTACCTGTTACTTGTACGTCACAGTTTATTATAAATAAGTTTTTATTCGAAAAAAAAAAAGTTGGAATTTTAAAAAACAATGTTTTCTCAAAAAATACCTTTGACAAGAAATAATATTCTGAAATATTTAAGAAACAATTTTACAAATTGGACCAGTGGAAATGAAAGAATCGATAATTTCATTCAAGAAAGGCAATTAAAAATAAACGACTATGAATATGATAATATAATGCTTGAATGGATACCATACAATCAGTTTAATGAAATTAAAGAGACAGGCAAAAATGACCTTATTACAGTATATTCAGCAACATGGAAGGATGGTCCATTATATAAGAAGGAAAGATGGAATAATTATACAAGAATTTCAAATAAAAAAGTTGCTTTAAAATGCTTATATAATTCACAAGAATCTATTGATTTAATAAATGAGGTATGAAATTTTTTTAAGTATTTAAATACTTTCTTTTCTAATTAGTATAATTACAATTTTTTTTATTTAGGCTAAAAAATATACAATACAACATAATGCATTTCAAGTATTGTATGGAATTTCTCAAAATCCAGATACAGGAAATTATATTTTAGTTCAAAATAGTTCTATAAACTTGGCAAATTGGATCAGTGGAAATGAAAAAATTGATAATTATATTCAAGAAAGGCAATTAAAAGCAAATGATTATGAAGATACAGTACTTGAATGGATACCATATGATCAGTTTAATGAAATTAAAGAAACAGGCAGAAATGGGTTTATAACATTATATTCAGCAATATGGAAGGATGGTCCATTATGCAAGAAGCATTGGCGGGATGAAAATTATACAAGAAATTCAAATAAAAAAGTTGGTTTAAAATATTATTCACAAGAATCCATTGATTCATTAATGAATAAGGTATGAATGAAGTTTTTTAAATATTTAAATATTTCTTCTTTTAATTAGTATCATAATTACTACAATTTATTTTATCTAGGTTAAAAAGTATTTAACAAAACATAAAGCATTTCAAGTGTTATATGGATTATCCCAAAATCCAGATACAGGAAACTATTTTTTAGTTCAAAATAGTTCTATAAACTTGGCAAATTGGATCAGTGGAAGTGAAAAAATTGATGATTTCATTCAAGAAAGGCAAATATTTAATTATTATGATGATACAGTGCTTGAATGGATACCATACAATCAGTTTAATGGAATTAAGGAGATAAGCGAAAATGGCCTTACAACAGTATATTCAGCAATATGGAAGGATGGTCCATTATATTATGATCATGAGAAATATGAATATAAAAGAAATTCATATAAAGAAGTTGCATTAAAATGTTTATATAATTCACAAGGATCCATTGATTCTTTAATTAATGAGGTATGAAATTTTTTTAAATATTTAAATACTTTTTTTTTGTTGATATATTTACAATTTTTTTATTTATAATTAGGCAAAAAAATATCCAACAAAACATAAATCATTTCAAGTATTGTATGGTATATCCCAAAATCCAGATACAAGAAATTATATTTTAGTTCTTATCTGGACAAGTGGGAATGAAAAAATTGATGACTTCATTCAAGAAAGACAATTAAATATTAATGACTGTGAGGAAATAGTGCTTGAATGGATACCATACAATCAGTTTAATGAAATTAAAAGAACAGACAAAAATGGCCTTGTAAAGGTATATTCAGCAATATGGAAGGATGGTCCGTTATGCAAGAAGGAGAATTGGAGGAATTATACAAGAAAATCAAATAAAGAAGTTACTTTAAAATGTTTAAATAACTCGCAAGAATTTATTGATTGTTTAATTAATGAGGTATTTAATTTCTTTAAATATTTAAGTACTTTGTTTTAATTAATATTTTTACAATCTCTTTTATTTTATATTTAGGCTAAAAAATATCCAATAAAACATAATTCTTTTCAAGCATTATATGGAATATCTCAAAATCCAAATACAGGAGATTTTATTTTGGTTCTTATTTGGACAAGTGGAAATGAAAAAATTGATGATTTTATTCAAGAAAAGCAATTAAAAATTAATAATTATGACGATGATATAGCACCTGAATGGATATCATATAATCAGTTTAATGAAATTATAGAGACAGAAAAAAATGACGTTATAACAGTATATTCAGCAATATGGAAGGATGGTCCATTATATTGGAATGTACAGAATAAAAATTACGTAAGAGAATCAAATAAAAAAGTTACTTTAAAATGTTTATGTAATTCACAAGAATCCATTGATTCTTTAATAAATAAGGTATTTAATTATTTTTATATATTTAAATAATATTCTTTAATTAATATATTGCTTTTTTATTTATAATTAGGCTAAAAAATATCCAACAAACCGTAAATCATTTCAAGTATTGTATGGTATATCTCAAGATCCCGATACGGGAGATTATATTTTAGTTCTTATTTGGACAAGTGGAAATGAAAAAATTGATGACTTCATTCAAGAAAGGCAATTAAGTATTAATGTTTATAATGATATAGTGCTTGAATGGATACCATACAATCAGTTTAGTGAAATTAAAGCGTCAGGTAAAAATGGTTTTATAACAGTATATTCAGCAATATGGAAGAATGGTCCATTATACAAGACGGATAATTGGAGGAATTACTATATAAGAAATTCAAACAAAAGAGTTGCATTAAAATGTTTAGATAATTCGCAAGAATTTATTGATTATTTAATAAATGAGGTATTTAAATTTCTTTAAATATTTAAATAGTACCTTTTTTTAATTAATATACTTACAGTCTCTTTCATTTATATTTAGGCTAAAAAATATCCAACAAAGTATAATACATTTCAAGTATTATATGGATTATCTCAAGATCCAAACACAAGAAATTATATTTTGGTTCTTATCTGGGCAAGTGGAAATGAAAAAATTGATGAATTTATTCGAGAAAAGCAATTAAATATTAATTACTATGATGATATAATGCCTGAATGGATATCATATAATCAGTTTAATGAAATTAAAGAGATAGGCAAAAATGATTTTATAACAGTATATTCAGCAGTATGGAAGGATGGTCCACTATGCAAGATGACTAAATGGAGTAATTATACAAGAGATTCAAATAAAGAAGTTGTTTTAAAATTATATAATATACAAGGATCCATTGATTTCTTAATAAATGAGGTATTTAATTTCATTAAATCTTTAAATACATTTTTTTAATTAATAAATTTACAATTTTTATATTATAATTAGGCTAAAAAATATTCAACAAAATATAAATCATTTCAAGTATTGTATGGTATGTCTCAAAATCCAAATACAGGAAATTATATCTTAGTTCAAAAAAATAGTACATGGATCAGTAAAAATAAAATAATTAATGATTTTATTCAAGAAAGACAATTAAAAATAAATGATAATAATTATGAAGATATTGTATTTGAATGGATACCGTACAATCAATTTGATGAAATTAAAAAAATGGTAAAAATAGTTTTATGAAAATATATTCAGCAATATGGAAGGATGGTCCATTGTGCAAAAAGAATATGCAAAGTAAAAATTATATTAGAGATTCAAATAAAAAAGTTACTTTAAAATGTTTATATAATTCAAACGAATCCATTAATTCTCTTATAAATGAGGTATGAAATTTTTTTTAAAAATTTAAATACATTTTTTTAATTAATGTATTTACAATCTCTTTTTATTTATAATTAGGCTAAAAAGTATCCAACAAATCATAAATCTTTTCAAGTATTGTATGGTATATCTCAAAACCAACATACAGGAGATTATATATTGGTTCAAAAAAATAGTATATGGATCAGTGGAAATGAAAAAATTGATGATTTCATTCAAGAAAGGCAATTAAAAATAAATGATGATAATTATGATGATATAATGCTTGAATGGATCCCATACAATCAGTTTAATGAAATTAAAGAAACAGGTAAAAATGACCTTATAACAGTATACTCAGCAATATGGAAGGATGGTCCATTATATTATGATCATCAGGAATATAAATATAAAAGAAATTCAAATAAAAAAGTTGCTTTAAAGTGTTTACATAATTCACAAGGATCCATTGATTCTTTAATTAATGAAGTATGAAATTTTTTTTAAATATTTAAATATTTTTATTTTTGTTAAGATATTTACAATTTTTTTTATTTATAATTAGGCTAAGAAATATCCAACAAAATATAAATCATTTCAAGTATTGTATGGTATATCTCAAAATCCAGATACAGGATATTATATTTTAGTTCTTATCTGGACAAGTGGAAATGAAAAAATTGATGATTTTATTCAAGAAATGCAATCAAAAATAAATGACGATGATGATGACATTATAGTATTTGAATGGATACCATATAATCAGTTTAATAATATTAAGGAAATAGGTAAAGGTGGCTTTGCTACAGTATATTCTGCAAATTGGAAAAATGGTATATTAAAATATGATGTAGATAGAAAAATATATAATAGGGACCCAAATAGAGTAATTGCCTTGAAATCTTTACATAATTCCCAAAATATTACTAATAAATTTTTAAATGAGGTATGAATTTTTTTTAAAAAATTATTATAATAGAATAATTTTTTATGGGTTTAATTTATAATTTAATTTAAGTACAATGTAATAATAATAATTTTTGCTATTAATAGGTTAAAGAATACTCAATAAATAAAAAAAGTAATGTCCTCAATATATATGGAATATCTCAAAATCTAAACACAAAAGAATATGTTATGGTTCTTCAATATGCAAAAGATGGCAATTTTAATCAATGGATAAAAGAAAATTATGAATATTTTATTTGGGAAAATAAATTATCTGCATTGCTTAATATTATTAATGGTATTAAAGAAATTCATCAAAAAAGTTTAGTTCATCGTGATTTTCATACAGGAAACATTTTATTTTTAAGTAATATAGATAATTTTGGTAATTGTATATCAATTTCAGATATGGGATTATGTGGAGAAGTTGGTAATATAGATGAAACAAAAATTTATGGAGTTATGCCTTATGTAGCTCCTGAAGTATTAAGAGGTAAACCTTATACACAAGCAGCAGATATCTATAGTTATGGTATGATAATGTATTTTGTAGCAACTGGAAAGCAACCTTTTGGTGATTGTGCACATGATCATAATTTAGCATTAGATATTTGCAAAGGAGTTAGACCTGAAATAAGTGAACCAGAAGCACCAAGATGTTATATTGATTTAATGAAAAAGTGTTGGGATATTGACAAAAATAATAGACCAGATATTTTTGAAATAGATAAATTAATCAATTCATTTCATAAGTCATATGGAGGAGATATTTTCATTGTAGAAGATGAAGAAATTGAAATGCAATTTAAGATAGCAGAAGAATATAGAAAAGAAAATCCTTCATCTATTGAAAATTACAAAACAGTTACTCATCCACAAGCTATTTATACATCTCGATTACTTAATCCTTTTACAAAAGACCTTCCAAAATATGATGATGATTATAATTCTCAATATTTAGACGATTGTGCACTTCCAATTAATTTCAATTAATATTAGTATAATAAAACTTGTTCAACATTCGTATAACTATTATTTTATAGAAATTAAATATGAATATATAATATTATTTATATAAATAAAATCAATTGGATAATATAATAAACAAATACTAGTAATATTAATATTTTAACAACAGTTGTAACCTGTTGCTTCGCACCAGGATTGGCTGTAATGCTAGCTGGAATTATATTATCGTCACATAAATTTTGCTTTTTTAATTTGTTTAACATCATGACGTCACGGTCGTCACGTAATAAACTGGCCAATGGAAGTAATGTTGCACAATTTAGAATTTATTTATGCAGGTAATCTAAACGTTACAAATTTTATTAATTATATAGATTTTGCCAGCTAAATTATTTTCTGATTATTGCTTTATAGAAACACATTTGTTAAATCTAAATTTTATTAATTTATATGAATTTTTATGTTTATTTGCAATTCTTTATATTTTGGAAGTGAAGGAATTTAAAGTATTTAATTGGCTCAAAAAGTTTCCTTAAGGGATTGCGGGTACGCTCTACGGGTTTAGAAGTTATCTTAAAGACCTCTAATGAAATGTTTGTTCAACCTACCCATAAAAAAAGTAGATACGTTTTTTATAGTGAAAGATAACTGAGAGATACGTCTAGATACGTTTTGAGATACGGAAAAATGCACAATTCCGTATCTTGCAAGACACGTTTTGTATACGGAGACACTAAAAAAACGTATCATGTGAGATACGGAATTGTGCATTTTTCCGTATCTCAAACCGTATCTAGACGTATCTCTCAGTATACAAAACGTATCTTTCAGTATAAAAAACGTATCTACCTTTTTTATAGGGCTAAAATATTGACCGAAAACCTTCATGCTCCACAATCCTAGTATCTGGAACTGCAAATCTGCAATTAGGCTTATTGCAGAAGATTTTGGAGGTATTCCCTATAAAAAAATTGGGATACGTTTTTTATAATGTTTTTATACGATTTTTTTCCTTAGAAATAACGTATCATAATAGGATACGGAAAAATGCACAATTCCATATCATTAAAAATATGGTTTGGATACGCAATTTGCACGGAATTCATATGGAATTTACATGATTTGATCACTGATTTTATCACAAAATTTATACGATTTGGTCACTGAATTTACTATTTGTATTACAGTTTACTATAATTATATTTACATAAATCTAATTTTACTTTATTAAATTAAATAAAAAATAAAAAATAAACAAAATACAAATACATTATGAAAATTCCCTCCTTATTAAAACCACCTATTGCAACCAAAATTATCTATAAGTTCAGGTTCATTTGGAGTCAAACAACAAAAAAAGAAACATAAGAATGTCTAGCTTAATTGGAAACAA